AAACTCAGGTACCCAAAATTTATAGTGCATTTATAGCACTTTACTGCTTTTTCTTATACTCTTACCGCACCTTATAATGTTTTCATTTATTGTTCTTCCTTATAACATAGTTTGTTTATGCATGTTTTAAGTTAACCACAAAACTTTTAGGATATAGTCTAGTTTAGGAGATATACAACAGTAAGTCACCAAATAACAATATCGCACGCTCACATATAAGACACTAAATCTGAAACTATTGCTACATTGAGTATGAAGCAACTCTTCCGTGGGCAATACGATTGTGACGTAGCAGACGAAAGATGATGAGCAGTACAATAAGTCTACGACAACTAAACATTTTCTTTAGTTTAAATAACAACCCATAAGACTTCGAGGTAATTTGCTTAGCTCAACTTGAATCCTCATACATTATCTTTAGGCTTTTGCACAACCCTATTGTGCAATTATAAGTTCTAATACTTTTAGGATTATGAGATTAGCGTACAACACGATGTAAATTCTTCTATCTTTCTAGGGTATTTGCACGATCATATATTGTGCGAATGTAAGTCCTAAATTCTAAAAATAAATTGCATGATTAAACATTGAATAACATCATTTTAAAGACATAAAGCCAAAAGCCAAACAATACAAACAATATGATAGTTGAGAGGTCATAGGGGTTCTCCTTGGATTCGTGACATCTCTCACTCTTCATTCCTTTGGATTCCTTAAAATGATTGTTCCTATTTGAGTCACTCCCATTTGATTTTCCCATGTCCAATCTTAAAAACATAATATTTAAAATCTTGAAGGCAGAACCATTGATCTTAATCGAGAGTTTTTCTAAGTGACTCCGATCATTTAAGATGTAAGTAACTATAGGTGCTTGCCTCTGCAAAGAACTTGAAACTCAGGTAAAATAAACCCTATCTAATCCTTATATTAGATAGGGGAACTTGTCGGTCATACATAAAAGATTTTGCAGACCAGACGGATGTCACAAACTCTTTAGTTTAGGTGGTTGAGCCTACTGTCATGTGAAATACTTATCCTTCGGGATAGTGTATTATATGTCGTATCGCGCTCAGTCATCCAAACCATTTAATATGTGAAACTCGTTTGGTCTCATCTATTTTAAAAATTAAAATATTACTTTCAAAAATAAAAAAAAATCACACATATTAAAACTATTTTTTTATTTAAAAAAAAATCATTATTTTCAAAATAACGGTTGACAACCGTTAGTTGATATATCAACATCAACATAACTTGGTCCCTCCAAGCTCTTTTCTGGGTTACTCCCGTATCTGCTAATAACTCTATTACATGGGCAATATCTTGTCTAAGTTGAAAGCCCTTTTCAACAAGTCCAGTCTTGTATCTCTTACTGCCACCAAACACAGTCTTCGCACAGTACACCCACTTGTTGTGCAATGTCTTCTTCCTTGGTAGAAGTTCTGTCAGCTCCCAAGTCTAATTCCCTGGTAGGGAATCTGTCTCCTCCTTTTTGGTCAACTCTCACTTGCTCGAATTCTCATCTTGCAAGATTTCTTCATAGCTATGTGCTTCTTCACCATTTGCAAGGTTTTCCTGCCTTTGGCGCTCTGCCACTCTTCAAGAAATGAACATTCTTTTGCTTCATCATAATGCACTTTTGATTCATGTGTTTACGTCTGAGTAAACCTATAGTCATATATAATGTTTCAGTTTTCTTAACCCGAGCCAATACCAATGCTCATTTGGTAACATTCCAGGTACTATCTGAGAATACTACTGAATGACCACCCTCATTGAGCTGCCCGACAGAAATGAGAATTTTCTTCAATTTAGGAAAGTGTTTGACTTTTTGCAAAGTTCATTTGCTCTTGTTAGGAGTGCAATATCAACATCTCTCATCCCCACCACGCTCAGAGTTTTTCCATCAGCCATATGTACCTTCTCAAAGCCACCTGCAATATACTTTTGCATCAACTCCAGGTGGGAAGATGTATGGAAGGAAACACCTGAATCCAGTATCCAGTCATCGAAAAAACTGTGAATTGTCAGCAATAGCGCATCATGTATTTCTTTAGTTACAACATTAGCGTCATCATTCTCCTTCTTCTTATGATTCCTACAGTTTTTTTTTTTTTTGTGCACAATTCCAGCAGGTTGCATGCTGACCACATTTTGATTTTGATTTTCCTCTGTTTGAGTTCTTGTCATGTGATCTTCCTCTGGAATTAACATTTAGCGCCAAACTTGAACAGGAAACCTCGCTAGAATCCTTCTTGCGCACCTCCTCAGCCAAAATCAAATCATAAATACTATCATATTTCAGCTTAGATTTACATACAGAACTACTAACTGTCATCTCATGAATTCGCAACTATTTGACAATAAAACTAACAATATCAACACACGTATCTCATCATCAAAATTAATTTCTACAGACAATAATTGATTTGTGATATTATTAAAATCATTCAGGCGTTGAGCAATAGAGACACCTTCATCAAATGCACATTGTTATTCGTCGATGGTTTTTTATACATATCTGATAAAACTATCATGAGATCTGCAGAGGTCCTCTCCTTAATGACGTTGTGGGCAACCAATCTCGACAAGATTAATTGAATAACCCCAAGAACCTGTCGATCCAAAAGATTTCATTCTGTATCGTCTATCTTTTCCGGTCGTTTTCTCAATAACGTAAGATGATGTTTCTTCCCAAAGAGGCAGTCCTCTATCTGCATCCTCCAGTAAACAAAATCTGTGTCATTGAACTTCTCGATCTCCGATGTCATCACTTCATATTTGCCCATCATTCTTCCTTAAATTCGAACTCAAGGATCTGATATCAGTTGTTCTGAAAAAATGACGACAATGAAGAGAAAAGTGGAACGAGAAAAATTGCACGTAGAGAAAACACTAGAGCGACACACAGATTTACGTGGTTCGGCAAATTTCTCTACGTTCACGGAGCTGCAGAGTATTTTATTTCTTCGAAAAATTACTTCGTCGAACGCCTCCACATTTATAAGAAAATCTTTATTTCTTCTCTCATCATCTCTCTCTCTTCCTCTCTTTCTTTCTTAAAGGACTTGACTTGGCCTAGTTTGACTTGCCCTTGTTTAGTTTGTTTATGACAAGCCATAAGAGACTATTTATAGAAATTATGAGAAAGGTAGATGAGAGCTAAATTAGCGGTAAGTGGGATGTGGTAGGTGGGTGAAAGGTGAGAAGTTAGTTGAGCGATTATTAATTAGAAAGCTAATTAAATTGTGACGGTCTCCACCTTATCCAACAATAAAATCTTAACAAAATCATGGAACTGGGTTGAAATGAAGAGGAAGATGAACGCGAACATCTTCCAGGTGAAGACGGTGATTTTCTTGTGCCGGAGCCGATTGGAGGGTGCAGCCGCGAATCTTAGTTGGAGGAGGAAACTGAGAGCAGCGTCGCAAGCCAACTCCGCGATGATCTGCTTGCGCCGGAGCGGATTAGAAGCTGCGACTGAGGGGGGAGAGCAACTTGAGCATCGCAATATGGTTCCCGCGCGAATCCCTTCAGAGCCGGAGTGCCAAATTCATGCTTATTAACAAGTTTTGAGCGTGGAATACGTAACTAATGGAGTTTTACGTGCCATGTTGGTAAAAATATCTAAAAAACTGATTTATTTAAATTATGAAAAATTTACATGCTTACCAAACAATTATTATGTATTTACATATCCAATAGCCAAAGTTATGACATTTACAATTTGGTGTAGTAAATCCAATCATAAAAAATTGTATTCCATTTTTTTTTTTTCAAGTATTGAGTGATGTTAAAGAGTTGAGGGGTATGTATGTAAATATGAATGTTTAGATACTGGATGTGTAAATACATAAAAATTTTGTGGCATGTATGTAAATGCCTCTCAAATTTGTCCGTCAATTTTGCATTCCAAGTTGAAGGGAATTTTGGAATTGGAATACATGTCTTCTTGTGTATTCCTCATAAAAAAAATATAATTCTATAAGAAAATTGGAAGTTTTATGATTATTTGAGATTGCAATAATGAATTGAAAACAATCAAATTTTATTTACCTGAAATTTCAAATAGGCCAAGCTGACTTTCTTCTCGGATTTTTTTTATACTTTTCCCCCCATATTATTTTCTAGAAAGATTTGAAGTTTTTTCAGAACCAATGTTGTGAGTTCACAAAAATATTCAATGTCAACACATTAAATAGATAATATATGATAACATTCGAATTATCGACATGAAAATAACTTCTATTATAAAACTGCGCACACACAAACACACACAGACACACCAAATATTTTTATGCATTTACAAACTTAACACATATTCATTGTTATTTGCTTAATACTTTAATCTCATAATAATATCCAAAGATACGCATAAACATATATTTCTATAAACAATTAAATATTAATTGTATTTTTATATGATAGTATAAATGTAAGTGTTAAAGAAATAAATATTACAATTTTCCAAGTTGGACATATAAAAAAGATAGGAAAAATGTTGTCTCTACTTAAAACCCCTATATACATATGCATGCAAGCCTACATACACACATAGATACGTCATTTCAACGCATTTAACCTTGCACTAACACATGAAATAGTGGTTGAGAGTACAATTTCTCTATCATAGATTCAAATCGCACATATTGCATTTTAGCTCACATTTCCCGAAAAATATATATAAACTCAATTTCAAAGCCTTACACCTATGTACATACCATAGGATAAGTTCATTTCATTATTATGCAGTAGAAGAGCGTATATAAATTTACTAAATGAACATAATTAAAAATTTTCAGGGCTGCTTTTCTTTTTTTTAAAAAAAAGAATATAGAACTCCTTTTTGTGCCAGTCAGCTTCCTCATCCCTCTCCCCTCTCCCCTCTCCCCTCTCCCCTCTCCCCTCTCGTCAGAATACATCGAACACCACCTTCCAACCAACTACAATCTAATCTTCCCAAAAGCGATTACAATTCAGTGTTCATCTAAGCCGGAAAAGTAAATTTACATAAGAAACGATAAGAAGCAAAGCGCTGCATTTGAAGAATCAAAACACAGACTTTACTGTCCCTAACATTTCACTTTACAAAAAAATAATTTATTTTGTTTAGAATTGCGAGATATCTATCTGTCTCATCACAGAAAAGACTCGAAACGGGGTTCAGTGAGATCCACATCTTCCTCCGAGGATTCCCTATTCTGAAAAGCTGATGCTAGGAACACCAGTTCGTGCATGTACTCGGCCGAAAGAACCATCTCTCGATTTTTTGGCTTCTCCCCACGCAAGTTCTGATCATTTTTTGACGAGAAAGGCCAATTAAGATGAACTCTCTCTGAGTTCTCTTGATTTAATTCAGTCAATGAGCTCTGCTCTTGTGTTCCGTTTGAAGTATCTTGAGCTAGTTCTACTTCCTTTATAGCAGGTGAACAGTGTTGTGATTTGTCTGAAGCAGTGGTGCTTTTGATGCTGCGCCAATGGAGTCCCTATAGAGAACAAACGGAAGAATGAAACCATACGATGTAGGAAAAGAAAATAAAAAAGCATACATGGAATAATTCTTTGTGCTGTATTTATGCTAACAAGATAGGAGAAATTAGAAAGTAATTGCGAGGTTGATAAGAACTCGTTCATGTTTGTTTGATTAACTAAACAGGTATGTGTGGATTTCATTATATATACTTGATTATTAAATGAACATGCGTGAACATTTTTTTGCCCGATTAGTTCGTTAATCATGTAATTTTGTAAAAAGAGATCAGCAAAAGCGATAGATAATGATATTGACAGGTAAATAAAATATGCAAATAAAGCTTTTAAACAAATGTTTAATGCTTTAATTAAATATCCAAAAGCACTGGATACAGCAGAAATTATTAACGATTATAAGTGTCAAAATAATTCTCCGACTGTTTACATGGGCCAATTTCTAGTCTTAGAATATAAAAGTGTCAAATGAGTCCCCAAATTCTTAAATTGAGTTTTCATAAAGACTATTTCAGCCCATATTTAAAGGCAAAAATTCTGCACACGTGGGCCCCACAAATTTAACACTGACCATGCCCATGTATTAAAATGGGGTCCACTTATCATGTGACGCCCCATCATTAGACTTCATATGCATTTTAGGGTCCAGAGTTAGGATGTAAATATTTCTCAACTAAATTGACACTTTATATACTCTCAAACTAAAATAGCCTCCTGCAAAAGGACGGGGGACTGTTTTCACGAGTTTCTCAATTCTTAACAAACAACAATTTTATTAAAAAAACAAGGCACATATACACAACAATAACCCGGAAACTAACCATATGGAAGTTTTCATGGAAGCTCCCCGTCCGATACTTCTCAGAAGCAATGGTGTTGAGGATCTGAACAATCTCCGTCATCGTTGGTCGAGAATCTGGATCCCACTGGAGACATTCTCTTGCTAAATGAGCCATTATCTGCATCTCTTCCTCGGGGAAGTTTCCTTTTAAAAGAGGGTCAGGTAATTCAGTCACAACCAACTTGCTATCATGCAGACGTGCTGTTGCCTGCAATTTCAGAAAAGTTGGCATTCTAAGCATTCAGGTCGTTTAAAATTAGGAAGATTTACATACATAACACTCAATTCTTATGTATTTATATGTCTAACACGTAAACTTCAATTTCTACATGCATAACACTTCATCTATGCATGTAACAGTATATTTCACTTTTTAGAAGTTAAAATTAGTGAAATGTTGGTGGTATTAATATAAAATGTAAAAAAGTTAGATATGTAAATACATGAGAATTTGGTGTTAGGTATGTAAATGCCCCTTAAGATTAATACTTGCATAAAATAGGCATGAAACAAAGACAGACTGATGAAAGTAAAAATACCAACCCAAAAACATAATACAAAGCTCTCATCATTGTTATTTTTGTTCATAAAATTCACATACTTAATAACATCAACAAAATGAACTAAAACAAGAGAACATTCTAAAAGAATATTATTAAAAATTTGAAGGTTCCAGTTAACTTTGCTTTGAACCTTACCCAAATTACAAGGCTCTCATCACCTTTAGCTGTTTTTTGAATTGGTTGGCGCCCTGTGATCAATTCCAAAAGAACTACGCCATAACTAAAAACATCAGACTTTAGGGAAGCTTTTCCCACAATAGCATATTCAGGCGCAAAATATCCAAATGTTCCCAACATTCTTGCCGGGGAACTAGAACAGCTTGGAAGGTCATCGGCCATTAAATACTTGGCCATGCCCAGATCAGTAATCTGCATAAAAGAGTATATCAATTCATGGAATGCTGTTAAATCCAGCTAAAAGAATCAGTTCTCATAAACATAAGAAAAATGTTGTTTTTTTTAAGGGGTTCATTTTCAAAACTTTCTTAGCAAGTTAGATGTGCATATGATGACTCAAAGAAATGCATTTGAAACGCATTCACCAAGTAGATAGTTCTTTCGACAAGGACAAGATTATAGATCATAAAGAAACTAAAATGTAAAAAAACAAAATTTTAAACAAAGAATACAAAAGTTCGCATATTTTGTTTGACAAAAGTGTGATGCTTGCATGAGAAAAACTACATGAAGAAAACTACCTTACCTTTGGTTTATAATTGTCATCTAAGAGAATGTTGGTGGACTTTATGTCACGATGCAATATCCTAGGGGCAGCTGCTTCATGCAAATATTCCAAGCCCTTTGCAACTCCTAAAGCAACATGAACTCGAGTAACCCAACTCAAGGGTTCTTTACCATGTTTTACATCCAAACATTCTCGTAAATTACCATTTGACATGAACTCAAATACAAAAAGCCTCTCGTAGTTTCTGCTTTGATATTCACAGCAGTATCCGAGTAAGGGTACAACATGACAGTGGTTGAGCCTTGATATTATTTCAATCTGTGCACAATTGAAGTTGGGCAATCTTAATATGTTTCAGTTTACATGAAACACAATTTGAAAACAAAAACTCAGAAAATTGCTACAGTTTGCATGTTTTCAAAACTTTTGGATGAGTTAATTGTAAGAGAAATATCCATGGAAAAATAAATTAAAAAAAGGTATTTTCACCTCAGTTAAAAAATCATAATCTTCGTCTGTCTCACTTAGTGCTTTCAGTTTCTTAATCGCAACAATCCTTCCATCAAAAAGTTTGCCATAGAACACATTGCTGCTCACGCCTTGCCCAATAAGGTTGGCATCGGAGAATCTATCAGTTGCCTGTTCCAGTTCAAAAAATGAGAACTGGATAATTGTTCCAGGTATTGTTTGCTTTTCCCCCTTAAATATGACAGTAATCCTGCGTAGAAATTCTGCCGCATAAAAGTTATGAATTAGATCACTTCTAAGAGGAAATAATAGAAATGCCTGGGCAGGCGTATATGGAACTTGTATTTTTGGTTAATAGTTATTTACTTGAAAGAAAATATAACAGTGCAACATTATTAAAAAATAACAGCAAACGCAGAAAAAGAAGAAAAAGAAGAAAAAGGCACTAGAATATGTCAAAGCCGGACAATCTGCAATAGCATCAACAATCAGACAATAATAATTAGATTTTACTACTCAGAAAAATATACTAGAAACCTTTATCATACATGCAGTATAAATTGTGAAAATTCACTTAAATTCAAAGTCTTGGACGCTTTTGACCTTCTCTAATGGAGCTAAGGGCACAGTCCAATTATTCATCTGGCATGAGTCCAATATATTGAAAACAAAAAAAGTGTCAAAATGCTCCTCTAACTCTTTATCAAGACCCACTTTAGTCCCACAGTCTATAAAAATATCAATTTAGCCCTTAAACTAGGCTTCCTTGGGGACTAATTCAGCCCATATTAAAATAATCTGAGGACTAATTTGACACTTTTATAAATCTCAAACTAAAATGACCTCATGTAAACAATCAGGGGTCTATTTTGGCACTTTATTCTATTAAAAACCATCAGCTAGGCCTCCTAACACGAGGTTATAATTTCAATACGCAAGAGCAGCCTCATAGCACAAGGTTATAACTTCAAACAGGGAGGGATGATAAAAAAATTAGAGGAGCTTCAGCCTTTATTGTTAATAGACAAAGCAATGCATATATTTGAAGTTAGAAATTAAACAAGAAGCTTCAGTTATTTTTAAGACCCACAAAAGTTAAGGAAACTGGAAGAAGTCCTCAAGGTACCTGTGAATGGGCTGAACAGGGTATCAGCCTTATGCTGGTTTCGCAAGAATGAAGCAGATCGATAGCTAATTAAGTTTGCTGAACTGGTGAAGCTCGTGTCTCTTGCAGAAGAATATATTTGTTGTTGATGAAGGAACTTCTCCTTGCGGTAGACATGAAGTGCAACCAATGCAAATAATGCAATTGATATGATCACAACACAGACTAGGAAAGCAACCAAAACAATCTTTCTGGTGAGGGGCCTCTGTGCGACCAAAGTTTCAGTTGAGCCTGTATCAGTCACCAGTAAAGAGTTAGGTGCCAAGGTGATTAACTCAGTATACCATCATATATGCGGGCATGCAACAATTTTGCATCATTGTAAAAAATAATATATCCCTACACATAAAAGGACTTGCAAGCACAAAAACACAAAAGAGAGAGCAGTGAGTGAAAGGGAAGGATAAAGAGAGACAATCAACGCCATAATTAGATATGCATATTGACTTAAGGGGTCTGTTTGGGACAACTTCTGTCTGCTTTCCATTTCAGAATGCCACCATATTTTTATTTGGGGAATCATTTTCTTGTTGTATTTTAGAACTTTTTTATGGCGAGAAGCTATTTTTTGCATCTAGTTCTGTTAAAGAGTAATGGCTATAAGAAAGTTGCAGTCTGAATATTTAGAAACATATAAATAATTATGATTCACAGCTCTGCTTCTAAAAAATTATTTTCACAACTTTATAACCACCTTTACAAAAAGGTGCAGCAGTCCCAAAAACGCACCCTTACATATGCATGCAAGGTATTAACACACAAAGTTACTGATCCAGTGACTACAAGTCGTTGAATTTAGCACAATGAAAAAAAGTTGGTATTTAGTCCATGTTTTTAAGCCAAACAAGCACGTTCATGTGGAGGCATGGTCGCAAAAATTTCCTGGAGCCATAAACTAAATGCATAAGCTTTCACACAGTTGAAGGACAATAAACTGTTGAAGCAATCTCCTAAAACCAGTGTTAGGTTTGGTTAAAATTATATGATGTAATTGTCTAAAATTTAAGGTCACTTGTACCAAATGTACAGTTGCAGGATGTAAAACAGCTGGATCTGTATATGCTTTCAGTGGCCTGAGGAGTTGAAACAGATGCACAAGAACAATTCCAGCGAACACCATCTGGCAATCCTAAGTCATCTGCCAAGAATATCATTGGGCTGTCATTGAGATACGAACATATATAAATCATATATTGATATAATATGCAAAATAACAGCAAATGATTTAATGAAGATGTACTTAAATGGGTTTATATTAAGAAGAAATGTGATATAATTGTATAACCGTATTCATGCTTGCAGTAAGTTGACTATTTAAAAAAAAAACTCTCTATAAAATTAATAAAAAACTGAGCAGCAATGCCTAACTGAGAAATAACAAGTTACCACCTGATGCTTCTATAGTTATTAGTAACTTCAATGTGCTAAATAAAACAGTAAAATTAAATTTATAAAGTTTATTACATGGCTTTTCTATCTTATCAGTAACTTTAAAGTGCTTCTCTTTCAAGAATACAACTACTATACAAGCAAGTGTTTGACCATACAAAGGGATTAAGTGGGATGGTTAAGCCATGAGGCCAAGAAATTAATTTACACCCTATGTCAAACTTGAAAGGTAAAAGCCTGCTACGGAGAAAACATATAGAGATTTTGGCAACTATGATGGAAGGTAGACATGAATTTTGCCTACTATCTTATTATTTTATAGAAATTATTATCATATTTCTTTTCATAGATTATCATGAGTCTTGATATATCACCAAAATTCACTTGAAAGCCACAAATCTCGATGCATGTTAGATTTTAAAATTTTTCCAGAGTAAAATTCAAGATCATGTGAGCTCTAATTTCAATAATTTTATAGAAAAACAGAGCACCTCAACAGTTTGGCCCAGCGAGACTGAAAATGATTCAATACATATCCAAATGATCTCAAGTCAAGCACTTGAACAATAATTGAAAGGTTTAAAGCATCAATGAAAAGTTAAATAATTTCCGAATTTGGCATTCTTACAGTCAAATCAAATGTTTTGACGAGAGAAATGTTAAAATGAGTTCAAATCAGGATCACTCAATTTATGAAACCAGTAAAGCACATAAATGCTAAAAGAAAGATCTATGATAAAAATATATATATATATATTGACCATCCATTGGAATGTTATGGGATTTTGAGTAAATTTACAAAAATACACTCCTAAAACTCCATAAATAGGAGCTCAATTTCAAAATGAAGGGAAAGGAAGTTGAGAGCTAAGTTTACACTCTCGAACAAAAGTCAGAAATGCTGACTACTACCAATTGTCGCCGACCACTTTTGATGGTTGTTATTCTTCAACTATTATTTTGCGATTGTTGTAGCCCAACTATTGTCTTGTGGTTGTCGTTGTCTAAACTTTATAACACTAAAAAATTTGTAACATCATGATATCCACTTAGAGAGACAAGTGGTTCTCTGAAACTTCAACTACAAAGTGAATAATTTTAACTGGGTCAAAACCAACAATTTTTTTCCTTTCAAGGTTTTTCCAAACAAACAATTTTGGTCTCTTAAAACTTATACTTACGTATGTGTTAAATCTTCACGCAATGTTATGACATTAATCGATTACCCTACCTTTGCAAATTTTCTAACACACAAGCCTATATTACCTTTATTAAAATTTTCACGGGCAATATTATCATTTGATAGTTGAGAATAAATTTAATTATATATTCAACACATACTACTTCAATGTTTATTATTATTATAATTTTCATGGGTAATATTGGCATTTGTTAGTTGAGAAAATATTTGATTATATATTCCACTTAGAGAGAAGAGTGACTCGTTGTAACTTCAACTACATAGTGGATAATTTAGAATGGGTCAAGCCCCTTAATATTTTTACCTTTATGGGTTTTTCTTTTAAAAAAAAAAGTTATTCTCTTATCACATATATTTATGTATGCGCTAAATATTCATGCAATGGACACTAATAGAATCTTCATGCAATTCTAAGAAATTAATCTATTATTACTCTACTATCACAAATTTTCTAGCACACAAGTCTATTTATCTTTATTAAAATTTTCATGGGCAATAGTATCATTTGTTAGTTGAGAATAAATTTGATCATAAATTCTTAAATTGTAGCATCTTCTAGTATAAATAAAGGTAAAATAGCATTTAATGACTTAAGATTATGAAGTGACAATGATGCTCAATACAGATTCTTCCTCATCATGGATTATGAGCCAAATTACTCTTCCTCTTATTCTCTTCTTCTTATCCCCTATTCTCCCCTATTCTCTAGCTATTCAAAGCATCTGCACTGACTATGCATCGATTGGCATTAGAGCCAAATTTTTACTTTTAGCAAGAGTCATAATCGACAACTAAATAAGATTATGATAATTATTATAGCAGAGATCAATTTCAAGGTGTCCATAAAGATTAAATGGAATGTGCTTCTACTTACTAGTTCTTAGGCCATTAGCCAACGAAGATGGATTTATTATTTTCTCAATTATACACGGTTCATAATTACCCAAGATTTTCCCCAACTTGTTGAACTCATAAGCCTAGGATACACATGTTTAGCCCATTAGTGATTTAATAGCAATATGCATCATTGTATTACGCCATCTAATAACTTACTAAGAATTTATACACATAATTCAATAAAGCAGCAACCATGAAAGTGATATTGTCTACTATACTAGCTCAGGGCTTTTTACACTTGGAGATAATTCAAATGAACATGAAGGCTCAATTGCAAAGATCAATTACTCAAATATTCAAGTTTAGCATAATATTCAAATTGATTGATTCAAAGTTACCAAGCACGTAAGGATGATAAACATAGAATTAAAAATGAATTTATTTTCAATTATATTCATTCCACAGATGCCAATCATAAAAAGCATATTTTTGTAACTCCTCTACTAAGAAGAAATTTATCATCCTTTCATAGAATAGAAGCATTTGCACTCATGTTATAGAAAAAACATGCTGGTAACTTATAAAAAAAATGAATGGTCATGAAAACTTGTGGAACTAACCACTATGAATGCAGTATTTTACCATACATGTAAGATTGTTCTCCCATTTTAATATTACAAGTGACTTTCTTAGTAAGCAAATTCAAGGCAAGCAATAACAGGGAAAATATTTTACCTGGTATACAATGACAAGATGTTGAACAATTGTAAGAGCTGTTGGAACTGAATGCTGCTAGAGGATTAGCGGCACAATTGCACACCCATTTCACTTCATCCGGCCCATTTTGATCCCTTTCTGGCAAGAATGAAGTAAAGCGATCAGATACGAAAAAAGAAGTAATGAAAATTAAAGAAACAACATGCTTAATTAGAAAATTTAAATGCAGAATGAATTAATATAATTATATTTAGCAATTATTCATTGCACTATCTTGTTGTTCCAAAAATCAAATCTTTAAACTAACCACAGCAAATGAAATTCAAGCATAGTAGTCCACTGAAGCAGATGGAAAGAACTTTCATGTGCAGTCCCATCAACTTTGGCAGCTGACTCCAGGTAAAGCATAAATAAAAGTTCCCTTGATGGCCTACATAAAGGAAAAGAGTAGTATGAAAGGCAAAACATTTTACACATTATAAGTAAATAAAACAAAATTTATTCTGATTGTGGAATATGATCAGTAAAAGAATCAAAGTAGATGGTGCATCTAACAATGGTTTAAATTAACAAGTAAAACAACCAAAATTCCTCTACAATGGCAAACCCATACTTCTTGTGTAATTGGAAAAAGGTTATGTTTCATTTTCTCTCCTCCAAATCCTATATGCCTTGGATGTCAAGTAAACGAGAAGTTGCACATTCAAGAAAAGGAAGGAGAGAGAGAGTGTGTGTGTGTGTGTGTGTTAAATTTTCCAAATACATGAAGAATTCCAGGGAAAGGAGTAAGGAAAAGGGATGACATTTAAGTGGACAAGATTTATTGTGCCAAAAAAAAAAAAAGAGAAGTAACCAACCCTACACTGAAGAGCACACTCAAACCAAAAAACATTAATATTAAAGAATAAATTTGAGTCTCAAAACAGCCAATGTCAACTCTATAATAGTAAGGAAACCAAAAATAAATCATTTTTTGCACTAATTACTTTGCTGACTAAGACTTGCACAAAAGTTTAAATTTGGAAGATTTGCTTAATAACAAGAAGCTGATATTGGGCAAAACTTCGCGAATCAAAAGAAAGAAGCACAAACAGAGAGCCAGCAATTTCAGCATTTGCTACAACAAACAAGGGTATGGCGGTAAACCTAAGAAAAAATTTCCCAACAAAATTCAAACCAAAACATCTTTTCTCGAGAAAAAAAATATATACCACCATTTTGCTAACAAAATCACAGTCAAGCAAACCTTTAGAATAAGCTCATGGGATTAGCTGAGAACATAATGTATCCATTCTGAGCCTGTTGAACCTTTCTCCATATACCAATCAACGCAAAAAGGGCTTATTTCCGATCAAACTTCAGCCAAACAACACAGACGAACCCGATCTTGGCCGCAGCAGATCCATCCAAAATCTGCCGTCTTCCCATCCAAACAAGTACATTACTTGCTCTATGACCTTTTAGCGCGCGCGCACATTGCGCTCAACACCTCGATGCTCCGCTTGCCAACCAAATCCACAGCAAAAACCCTAAAAGAACCCGATTTAAACCACGAAAGAAGGGCATTGACCGAAAGGAAGCGGCAAGAAACGATTTTCAAGCCAATGATCATGATGATGCAAGAGAATGATTTTTATTTTAATAAGAAATAAGAAAATCCACATGCCAATTAGTCGTGACAAAGCAATTTCACCGCAAACCTGAAGGAGACCTTCCACCCATTTATTATCCAAAAGGAATATTTAACAGCAACAAATAGAAAAAGGATAGAAATGCAATCCAACTCCACTTCGACATTATTAGATGCAGCTTTCCAACTTCCTAAGTCTGATTTCCAGCAGCTCTTTCTGCTCCTCTAACTGCAACAACTTGGAAAGAGACCAAATTCAAATTTTACAATGGCTAACTTGATAAAATAATTTTCTTAGCTGCACGCCAAGGCAGGTAGAGGATGGTTGCTGTTTCTTATGCCAAGTAGAAAATGGAGTGAATTTATCAGTTTATGAGAGTCGCTTGCAGCCGAGTAGTCTTTGCTTAGAAGTGATCAAGAACCTTTTTTTTTTATCAACTGTAAAAGTAATATTGAATTTAAAATATATTTTTAAAATTTAGTGTCTGATTAGGACCCTGAAAAATTTGGAGTGGGCCCCACTCTAACAAAAATAACAAAAATATATTTCAATGATCGTGATCGGATAACGCACGTAAATTTGAGTGCGGTGTCCGTATGCAATAATCACTCCGATGCAGGGGAGTCCATTTTTTTCTACGCATCCTAATGGTAGACATGCATACGTCTTATTGTATGCAATATGTTTTTCTTTAGAAGAGTACTATTTAATGCATTTTGGGAATTAGTTACCCATTCAACAGAGTGGCTAATACGTTTGTGCATGCTAACACCTATTGGGTGAACAACTAGAGACTAGCTCCAACCACAAATTGCAAATATAAACTCAGCATATGAATGACATGATGCTTATTAAAAGTATATAACATGGAAATGTTTGAGAATGATATCATAATGGCTACATCAATAAAATAAAATATGAAAGAGTCATAAATTTTTAATAGTATAAGTTGGTATAAAAATCACCATATTTAAGGATGCAAAAATTGAATAAAATTTTCTGGCCTATTCCTTAAACATGTGTCATCACAAAGAAAAAGAAAATCTCAAATGACTGAAAAAGAAAAAAAATAAAAGATGACAACATATAAGGGGGCGTTTAGTGCGGCGGTTGGTTGGCGGTGCATTCCATGAACGCGGAGAAAACATCGTTTGACTGTTTGGGTGGGCGACGCAAGCGCGACAAGGGACAGTATTGTGTCAAGCAAATGGAGTGTTCAATCCATTGCAGGTTGTGTTCTGCGGTTTACTTATTTTCTCTTTTGATGTTACCCCTCCACTATTTCAAATTTCTCTCACGAAATCCATAATAAAACTTTCAGCTTAGGGTATCACTCGACCTATTTTGCAACGAGCAACTGTCTCTCTATGCGACCGAGGTTTGTTTTTTTGTGGCTAATCTTCATTTTTCTCACTCAGCAACAACTGAGATGCTTGAGACCCTTCTTTGTTTCTATCTCTCTTACTCTCTCCTCAACGAGTGAGCTTACTTGGCTCTCTGCGGCTCCCTTTAACTCTTGGCTTCATGTTACATCATATCATTTGCATTGGTTTGGATTATTTTGCATTTAAGATTGTTTGTTCTAATATGTTGAGTTTAAGACTTTTGTTTTCGAGAGGTTATGTCTCCACAATAGTTCATTGCTTGCTTTGCTGAACATTTGACGTTACCTGGAATACTAAGAGCGACGATAGGGTTCGATTTTGATCGTCTCTTGGTTTTTTTCTTTTTGTAGTTGTGTGATCATGGAATGATCGTTTTGATACTTTATTCAACATTTGTAGGGGTGATACATATGTGCAATTTAGAAGGAAAAATGACATTTAGCTCAATGCTCACTTCTATGATCTCTGAGAAAAAAAAATGGCTAACAAGTTCGCCACTTTCCCTTCAACATTAGCTCACTGCTCTGAGTTGAATAAGAAATAGGTTATTTTTAGGTCTTAGATAAGTAAATACATCATAATTATATGGTATGTATGAGAATTTTCACTTAAGCACTCAATATGTCCTTTCAATATCATTAAGTTGAAGTATGCTATTTAGGTGTTAGTATGTAAATGCTGTGTGGTATGTATGTAAACTTCTAAACTTCCAAAACGCATGTACAATTTATAAACTTTAGATGTTGTATTTGTAAACACATGATATTTATATGTTCATCCTATTTTATATCATGATTATGGTATGCCCTGAAAGCCTATGAACACCTAAGGTTTAGAAATCTCTGCAAGGCTTACATTCATAATACCACCCAATTTCTATATGTTTACAAATCTAAAACATAGAGTTTGCATTTTACAATTTATACTTATACCAACACTTATAAATTAGGTGAAATGCAAAGAAGTGGACCTTTAGAAGCATGAGTAATGTGGTATGCTTGTAAAAATTGAAGTTTAGGTTTTAGATATGCAATACATCAGAATTTAATGGCAAATATTGCAAAGCTGAATTTGGTATACTAGGTGATATGCAGACAAATAGGTTTGATAGGTGAAAGTGGAAAAGGTCAATTTTCCATTTGCTTGTTTTTAACCATTTAGAAGCTGAAATATGAAGATTTTTGATGTTTCAGCTGGGTGGATAGAAAGTTAGAGGTAAAACATGTTTATCATATTCTTAAACATAGATGCATGAGTATCTAATGTTCTCACTTACATTATTTTTCATTATAAGTATTGTTTGAAGCCAAAAAATTTAAATATTCTGGTATAGATCATGAATTAGAATGAAAGCTTGATGTAATACTTGGAGTAGTTGTTATCACTAGAGCTTATACTTGGACTCCAAGACATCAAGTTATTGAAAGCTTAATAAATGAGAATCAAAATTGTGAAGATGAAGGTAACTTGAATGATACTGTTAAAATGTCATTTAAACTTAACCGTAGTAGACATAAACATACATCTTCATAATAACACAAGGAAGCAAATGATAGTAGGATTTCTTTGAGAATAAATTTAGTGACTGGTCTTTGCATGCACAAGTGTGAACTTGTTCTCGAATATAGTCAAGATACCATTGTCAATGTTAGATGTTATTTATATGTTTGCTCAAACTCAACAAATTTTTTATGGCATGCTCATTAATCTTTTTGCAACCAATTTTCTTGAAGAATCTATTGTCGGTTTTATTTTTTGACATGGAGGGTGTCTTTATAGAACTATATAAATTCAAAGATTTAATTATTTAAATAATCAAATACAACATGAAAAGAAATATTTAATCTTGAGAGAAAGAAATATCACTTTATAATCAGTTTGATTATTTAAATTAAGAAATTTTGGATATTTGAATTAGTACACAGTTAAAACATATAAACTTTTTTCCTGTTTGAACTAAAAACTAGATAGGGTTTAAATTAATCTAGGTTACAAACTTTCTATTGGTGCAAACCCCTATAATTAATCACAAATTAAGTAACTTAAGTTACTTAAGATAACTATTGACTACAATTATAGTTCTTCTTTCAAGAAATTTTTAGCTTGGGTTTCCATGATTGATCATTGCAAACTTAAATGAGAAAGGCTCAAAAGTGGAATTATTATTAACGGAACCCAAAGAAAGAAAAAGCAAGAGATGTTGGAGATATTGAGAACACTCTGTGACATCTCAACCATCTTATGGTTTGATTTTAGTGATTTAGAAAAACGTTATTTGATGTTTATTCTTGATATTTTATTAAAAATTAGGTCTTATGTCATGCAATATATAACTGTGAGAAATCCTAGGAGATGAGAATTTACGTCGTAACTAGAAAAACAATCTCAAAATTCTAAAACTAAAGTGAAGTTGATTGAAAAAAAGTTAAAATTTGAAACGCTAATCTAGTGGAAAGAAAGAACACAAACAAAATAAAATGGATTTATAACCCTGTCTGGAAAGGTTTGTCATCAAAACCACTCAATCTCATTTCAAACTATACATAGCCGGTCTCAATGATATAAGATATAGTAGGTTGTTATTAATAGTATATCTTACAACTTGATTATAAATCAAGCTTTCTAAGTATGACTATTGGGCATAATGTTTTAAGACCATTGTGAATAAATTTTTGTCATTTAAAATTTAATCATTTTAATACTCACCACACATGTATTTTATTATTTTGTGGATAATTTTTTGCTCTAAGTAAATCAAATTAAGTTGTGTATTAGGCTATCCATGTCCTGAATGATTAATATTTAAAGAATTTGTTCATTAGGCTAATTAAAATGCAAGTCACTTCCATGAGGTGATGATTCTCGGAGGACAAGCCATCTTTTTTTATGCAATGTGTGAGTACTTGAAGTACAAGAAAAAGAAGCAATATAGTTATGCATATTCATATAGTGATGTTTTCATGGCTATTGTTAAATCGTAAGAGATTTCTACTAATTTTTATTTATATCAATTTGGTTGTTTTAAATGCATGATATTTTATAGGGCTGTAAATGCAGCTTTATACAATTTTAGTTTTGGTTATGAGTTTCATTAATTCTAAAAAGTTAATTCAAAATTGTTTATTTTTAATTTTAGCATATAATTTAATTTTTAGTGAGTCTACCGGTAATCCAGGTAAAAGGCAAAAAGCACTCGCATAAAATGTGGGCAGACTTATCGAGCAAAATAAGGATAAGCCAACTAATGTGTATCAATCCTAGACATACGACGTCAGACTTGTTGATCAACATCATCTAAATTATTATTGTTGGTTTATTTGAGGTTCATCATTCGTTTCAGTGTTCATCCTATTTTAGATAGTCCGGGTATTGATAGTTGACCGACTAAAACACACCCTAACTCTAAAAGGAAAAGAAGCCACTAGAAATAAACTCTATGTTACTATAGTAGCCTAACTATTTTAACTATAACGAGCCTACAAAACAAAGTTAGCACATCTTAGGCTTGTTATAATAGCCTAGAAATATGTAAATAAAATCTAAGACAACCTAGTGCAAAAGAGAATCATCTACATATCCTTGCAAGTGTCTAACATGCAAACACAACAATCACAGTATAAAGCCTATCTACTCTTATAACATGTAAAGGGTTAGTGTCGTATGACATTTAATAAGGAGATAAAGTGGTCAAATGAGAAAATTCACTTTTTGTTTAAGACGATGTTGACCTCACTTTTGGTTGAGGTCTAGAAATTTCTTTAGTAGTCTAGGTCTAGCCATAGGACTTTTCTACTGACTAGTCTTAGAAAACTAGAAAAGGTACCCTCACCATTAGAAACTAAAAAATTCTTCTCTTTACTCAATTTGAAGTTCCACATATTGGTCCTAACCTCTAGCACTTAGTA